TTTTCTTTCATTTTCAAAATTAAAGACAACTTCACTAATACTTATTAAAATAACAAATCATTTGGGAACCAAATTTTGCTCTTTGTGACCTGTGACTCTAATGAAGAACTATGCATGTATTTCAATTTAATTCAATGTATCTCTCTGGCCAGTTAACACATAGAGCCCTGATGAAACTAAATCAGGACATAACCCTTGTAAGACATGCTCAATATTGTAATAGCAGTCTGATCATCACCTCAAAGCTTTGTATCCCTGTCAATGTCTATGGAAAAGTCAGTTTATGAAAAATGGAAGTGTCAAAAAGCTCTCCATAATAGTCACCAAAGAAATCATAGGACACAACTCATAGGAAAATTTTTTATGATAAATAAACTACCTTTCCCATGCATTCATAAAACTAAAAAGAGGTTCATACAGGGTGTCTCAGAACTATCTCAAACTTTAAATACCCATTCCACACATATTGATTGCTCACCATTAAAACAAAGTCTTTTAAAAAATTGAATGTTTTCCAAAAAATTTTCGAAAAACTTAATCTTTAGGGAAATATAATAGTTTTACTTGGAATCTTCTGTTTAAAGGATCTTCCTAATCATGTTAGTTACAGGGAATAATGATTCCTTACATGGCTATTCCTGGTGGTGAATCACTATTCCCATTCACTTCATAGATTTGGGATTTCCTTTTAACTTAAAGAATGACAAAAGTGCAGAGTGGATGCAGAAAACCATCAGCTTTTCTTCGTGAGGAGAAAACCCCCTTGAACTTCTTCTATTCATCATGACAGCTATCATGGGCAAAGATCAATTAATGCACCGGTATATATGCAGAAATATCATGTAAGCATAAGGACTCCAAACCAATTCATCAAATGCATAAAAGTAGTATTCACAAGGGTACCCCTGTTCCTGATAACTCTCAGGATTTAGTACAATTGCCTGTGCCTCATCTTTTAACTTAATTGTCAGGAAATCATCATAGCCCAAAAATGAATGAATTAGGGTAGAAATGTTATTCTGATTTTGGTCAAGGGGGAGAACACATGGCAAGCATCTTCCATGCTGCAGGCTTACAGTTAAAGAATTAAGGTTGAATTAGTTCAGCACAAAAATTATAGGTACATTTGTTTCTAGTTACATATTTTCTCAGCCACTGAGTTGACTTCATGATACCTGTGCCAAAAATTGTATTCAAACAACTAAACAAACGTGCTTCTTGGATGGGTCAGTGATATTTAATAGAAAGGTACATGAAGGTGGGTGAAAAAGGGCTAGCAGAATTTAAATAAATAACTTTGCCAATACCACATACTTGAAAAGCCAACATTTTCAAAGTTTAGGGCTTGGTACTATATCATGAAAAAAAAGAAAAATTTATGTCTACGTTGTATACATTTTTGTTGGGTATCTCTTCACATCCCCTGCCACAACAGGGAACAATGAAATCATTTCAAGTCTGAAGCATTGAGAGTCATGCTACCAAGCTTCAAAAGAGCCAATTCAACCCTGACACCAACACCTAAACTTGAAATCAACCAATCAAGATTAATTAGGGTAATACAAGAAGTAGCGCCTCCAAATTAAGGTTTTATAACTCCCAGAATAAATTTTTAAAATCAACAGAAAGGCATAGAAATGACACCTAAGATGACTCCAGAAGTTTCTGTGGTACCTGCTGCTGTCCCTGACATCTTTCTTCTCCTGAAGAAGCAATCTTCTCAGCTTGATTCCCCTCTTCAAGATCAGAAGATCTGTCACCTTGACTAGATGGAAGCATGTTGTCACCTGATGGGTTCCTGGATGACTGAAATGGGCCAAATATGGGAGAGGCCAATCCACAAGACTGCAAATCTACATTCTGTGATTCATATCCCTGTAAAGAGGACGGAGGGGAACTTCCGTACCTCTCTTCCTCTTGAGACTTGGCTTCACTCATTACACTGATATAAAAATCTACAGGCAACAATTTGTTGAAAGGAAGAAATGAAAGAAGTATTTTATGAATAAATGATATGCCATCTAGAATAATACAACTGATTGACTTATTTTAGTTTACTAATAGCTTGGAAACAAGAGCACTCCCTCACAACATAATGGATATTTTTTAGCTCAATATCTTTCACCTGAACAACATAGCAATGTATGTTTTCTGTTTCACTTGGACACCCAAGCAATGGGACACTTCCAATGAGAGGGAGCCTGAGACCATTGAAACATTGTAGAACCTGGTAGTGCAGACTTTAATTAGATGGGATGTAATTCCAACAAACCGGAATTGTAGGATCATAGGTATTGTAGAATTATGTCACTGCAACAACTCTTGTGCTCCAGGCACCCAGCCTTCAAAGTCTCTAATATCCCGGTTATCAATTATTAACATCACTACTTCAGTGTATTGGATTGCCTCCACCTCAACCTCAACCTCAACTAAAAAAAAAACCTTCCCAGATTTTGATAACTCCTAAAACTTGGCACATGGATTGTCCTGAATACAGCACAGGAGCTGTCCAGTCAAGACTTCTTACATGCCTCAACATTGTATCTTGTCATCCTGAATCAACAAAAGTATTCAATTAAGTACTTCCATAAATATCATTCTACACATGTTATCTCACTTATCATTTCTTCTTTTCCTCATCGGACCACTCCTGATGCAATGAGTAGCAGGGTTCACATTAACTCACTATAGTGAGTCCCCGACTCATATTTTCTTGGAGGAACTCATATTTGCAACACATCTAAGTCCATGGGATTCATTGACAACCACCTGAACATGTTCCCACAGAACTGAAGCTAGCAGCCAGGACTCAAGATTTAAAAAAGCTAGTGTGAACCCCGAGTAGGGTTATGGAGACCAAAACATCTCTCTAAGAACATGTACTATAAATATTTTTACAGGTAAAATGTTCACAATCATGGTTCCTTTAGAGGTTTAAATAAATAAAGCACTTAGGAAAAAATCGACATGTGAACCTAAGGGGTATTGTCCATGGTATGTTTTTTAGGTCCAGGTTGGTAAATTAACTTAGGGGATGATGTCATATAGAATGGATATAAAGAATGATGGAATTGTTCCTTTCTTCTTCCCTCCAGGTTATTATGATTATAAATGGAGCAATTCTTCGTGAAGACTATGCATAGCCAGCTAATTGAAATCCATCTATGTTGAGAATTTTCCTAAATACACTGTCTAATGCACTTACAGACTCTGACTAAATATTATAATATTATGCTTGCAGCTGCTCAACCAGCAGATGGATGGCTGATGAAACCATCATCTCAAGCATATAGATTTAAACATGAACATCTGCAGAAAGCAAGTCTTCCATAAAGATTAGACATTAAAAAAGTAACTCCATTTTAAGGCTGGAAACTGTGAGATTGTAAATTTCATTATGAGTGGGGTCAATAACAGAAGGTAACAGTGCTCTTCTCACACTGATCTGAATTATCTTGGCAGAGTATGTTTCTTATTTTTAGGAAATGCAAATTATTACTGGGAAAATTACGGAATTTGAAAGCATCAACTTCCTTGCTACTTCAGTATGAAAATATATTTCAATGAATCTGTAATTTTGCATATATTTCTCACATCAACAAGTTACCTCATATTTTATGCTTGTAAGCCTTCCTGAGAACAACAAAGAACATCAAACAAGTAAAAAGCTCTATTTTTCATAAAATAACTGAACCCAGACAGTATAAATCAAGTGTAAATCATGTATTCAAAAAATCATTTAAGGAAAAAATTTCCACAGTAAAACAAAATAAAATTTATGGAAAATGTATGTTCCAGAACTGGAACGTGAAACAGCAATAGCCTTCAGAACCATGAGCAATTATAAAGTGCTATGAGGAAAATGGAGAAATTCACAGAGTATCTCATAGTAACTCAAACAATGCTCATTGAAATTGTTGGCCACTCTGTAGGCATCAAATAGTAAATATAGTTGACACCTGCAGAGTAGCCAATGATTTTGACAAGCCTTGCTTGAGATGCAGCCAAAATTCCATTCCCTTTTGATCAGCCTACATACTTCCACAAATCAACATCAAATGATTCAAGAATTCTGCAAGGGATATGAAAATCTAGGAGGAACAAAGACTTTCTAGGTTTCATAAACAGCATTTTAAGAATAATAAAAGACAGACTTAATGGAAATTGTGCAATGCCTTCAAGGTATAACACATGCAAATTGATACACAAAAAATATATAACAAGCTATTTATTTCATAAGATTCATCAACTCATATTGTTCACTTCATGCTTTCTATTTTGAGGCAAAGGCATGAATTGTACACAATATATAGCAGCAAGTATAAGAATCACCCCCATATATTGCAAATAATTAGTACAGTCCTACACACAACTTCATTTTCAGATCAGCACGATGGTTTGTGTATCAAATGATTACCTGTGAAATATTACAAGTACCAGTATCACAATTCACAAGTATGAAGGACCAGCACCAACTTACTCTCAAGTTATACTCTGTACTTGTAAAAATATATGAAATTCCAGGCTATGTTCCAGCGAAAAATCAGACTCAGAAAGTACACAAAGATGATAATAGTTGCTGAACTGAGGATGTACCTTGTGTTCTGAAGCAATGGCAGAGAACTGTAGCCCAAGAAAGTGATGTATATATAATAGCCAATTGAGATGAGCCAAAGGGTGTTGCCAACAAACAGTCCAAAAAACCAAGACTTTGTCATATCTGAGAGATCATAAAACAAGTAATAGAAGATGAGCTGAAAGATGTGTAGGATGACCAGAGGGGGAAAGAAAGCATTCAAGTGAATATCAAATGAGTAACCCCATTCAACATCCTGATCCTGGAAGATTGGCTTCCGCAAGAATCGATTGGTGATAAACCACATCACAGTGCTAATCAAAAGTCCCAGACCAACACAATCCAGGAATATGAGTGACAGTACAAAATTGAAGAACTGGAGGAAACCGTAATGAAGGAATGAAGAGAAGATGATGGCAGACCCAAGCATCCATGCCAGCAAGAGGACAAGGAATGCTGGGTCATCACGAGCATATTGCCATTTGGTCTGCTTCCGATATTGGAAGTCACGAAACACCTTCTGCGGTGATGTGAACAGATAGATCATTTGCCACATGGCAAACTCAAAGTCCATCTGCCGGAACTTGATGAGCCGGCGGAGATACTTGTAACGCTTGGCAGCAGCACTCATGCAGTTTTTTTGAAAAGACACTGGTGAAGGAAGGATGAAACCACTCTGGCTGCTCTGTGCTGAAGTGGGACTCAAAACACGTGGTGGTGGAGGTGAAGTTTTATACTTGTGTGATGCAGCCATGCCATCATTTTAATCCTCCCATACCAAATCAAGGAAAATCCATACACACCAGTACAAAGAGTCAATGTAGCTGAATGGTAGAGAAGATCTTCTGAGCTTCTTACTTTACCCAGAATAACATCTGAAAAAGATGAGATAATATGGGTCATTCCACTTCAAGTAGGGCAATAGCAGTAGCTAAAAGCACTTATATAACTATAACAGTAAAACAATACAGTATTGGGCACTTCGACTTCAGTCTTATCCTGGAAACAATTAACGGAGATGCGTATCAGAAAGTAACCTTAAACATTGCATAGTAATTCTCTATTCTAGATTCAGAAATAATGCCCCACACCAGGAGGCCTACGGTTCCTTAGGTCGGTTACTTTAACATCTGGGTATAAATGAGAGCATGGGAGCTAAGTAAGCCTCAGATTACGTTTCCCTAACGTTAGGGCCACGCCATTGCATGTCGCAGTGCTAACCCAAGATAATTTAATGCAAGGCACAACCTTCAAATAGGAAGTGCTCAACTCCATAAACTCCAAAGTGATTGAGCTCACTGCACAATGCATACCATCTGATATCGACCATGGGATTTGCTTGAAATTTCAACCGGCACGTCAAAGAACTCAGTTTCACGTCACCAAGAGATCGAAGGCTTAATACCGCCGCCATGCTTGGTATTTACGAGCCCGTTATCTGCAGATACGGACGAGCAACACAGTTTAAGCTTCTCCCGCTAGATGTCGCACCTGCAGTGTTGTTCATAGGATCACGTGGGGCGCAGCTCTTCGCTTAAGCGTAATCCCGCCGAGATTGACACAAGACAAGAAGGTAGAATTTCTCAACGCCAGATATGCCAGTGACAGGGAGGGATCTCTACAAGAAACTTATGAAATCGTCCGCGCTTTTATCAACGGGAATAAGCAAGTGAGTCGAATCTGCTACCAGTTATCAACTTATTAACAGGTATCTTCGGCCCTGGCCTAACGTGAACTAGAAATTTAGATGTGGAGGAAACAGAAGCGTGGATGAGGGAACTCAAAGACCTATGGCGCACAATGCGACACTGAAACACTTCTGCCCACATGTCAGCAAGGGTTCGACTATCAGGTCTGACCAATGGGCTGTCTAAGCTGAATTGTTAATCATGGTTGCCAGTGAGACAGTGAATCGTTGTCAAAATTTTGTGGAGCCTATGAATGATGAGGGTAGTTGTTGTACATCAGGAGAGCTAAGTTCTTGAAATGTTTTGTCCCCAGACCAGCCTTGGGCCAAAACTTATGGAAGCCCATTATGAGTCTAAGTCTTGAAAAAAAAAAAGAGACCAATACAAGGGATGGTGACAGAGACTCCTTCCTTCATCTCCCTTTCAGAATGTACTTCATGAAGTTCAATGATTTTATACACATAACGATGAGCACCTTTTACCCATATAATATTGTTTGCCTCACTACTTTTGGAAACTCAATTCTTTCTTTCTTTTCTTTTCCTCCTTTTTTGCAGTTTTGATGACATAATGGAAGGTGGCTTACTTACAGAGGACATAATAGAAATTTGTGGAAGGTCAAGCAGTGGGAAGACACAGCTTTGCTTGACCGTGGTTGCTAGGGTGGCTCATAGCCATTCCATGAATATAGTTTACATTGATACACATGGCAACTTCTCTCTTCCAAGAATTCAGTCATTCATCCCAAAGGTGAGCTAAATCCACAAGTTTTTCCCATAGCAGACCTATAGGTGATGAATTTCATCTAGTCAGCTTACTTTGCTGATTGCTAAAAATGGTCCTAAGACATTTGGGCCAGAAAGAAGCCAAGCAGTTTGTTGTAAGACCGGGTATAATGTCAGTCAAGGAATTTCAAATGTGCTTGAAAATGTTCTCTTTTACAGCCCCTAGTGCTGCAAAGGACATACAGATAGTTGCCTGCCTATGATTTACTTTGAGACTTGTGCTTGTGTATGATCTTTTATATTTACATATAGTGGTTGTTCCCTGTTTAGGCCTCTGCAGCAGCTGTGAAGCATCAAGTTGCTTGTCTAAAAGTCTACACTGGAGAGGAACTGTTGAAGGTTTTAATGAGCTTGGATGAGCTTCTCAATGAACAAAGGGANTATTTACATATAGTGGTTGTTCCCTGTTTAGGCCTCTGCAGCAGCTGTGAAGCATCAAGTTGCTTGTCTAAAAGTCTACACTGGAGAGGAACTGTTGAAGGTTTTAATGAGCTTGGATGAGCTTCTCAATGAACAAAGGGAGAAGTTCTATTCGAGTCTTCGTCTTTTAGTCATTGACTCGCTCCCTGGCTGCCTTGCTCCTTCTCTTGGAAAGTCTGTTGAAGGTATGTGTAAGAATGCTGTGCATAAAAAAATGCATTCAGTGTTCAAGAAATTGTTCTTGAATAGAATTAAGTCTCAGAAATCAGTAGCAGATATGTTGATTCTGGTGCAAGGAAAGGATCTCTTGTTGACTTGTGTTATGTCCCTCAGCTTCTGGTTGTCCATGATGGATCAAATGGTTGGTATGTTGAATGGGGCAAGAAGAGACACAATTGAACCCTTGAACCTTAGTGAACTAATAGGTATTGGTGCTGTGGGATGCATTAATCTTCACTGATAAAAGTATATACTATGGATGAGAAGTCTTTTCATAATAGTTAATGACTTGTAGTTATGTCCTCAAAAATGTATGGGTGTGTTAATGGTAAAATATAGTTCCTAAATATGCTCAGAATAGCTGCTCCCACAAATATTGCCCCTTGGCACTTGACTGGCTCAAAACCAAGATTCATGTAAGAATCATCTTAAAAACTGAATAATGGGGAGTTGTGATCTTGAGACAAATATTTGGTAAATCAAGTATTCTATGTCAACCATAATGTGTGCTTGTCCATTTCTTTTTTTTTTTTTAAATTAGCAGAAAGTAAGATGTGATGGCTCCAAGCATGGAAATAAGATTTCCATGAAATTTTATGAGAATAAAAGAAGTTAAAAGCACTTGCTGGTTTTTGGCACCACTTTGCACCCCCTGGGTTGTTACTGCATAACATGGAGTTGAGTTAAAGTGAAATAGCTGATGCACAGTAAGTTAGCAGGCAATAATAGGCAAAGAAATCCAGTATCTCAGATTTGTCAAAAAAAAAATTTCACAAACATAGAACTCATGGAAATTTAATAATATTTTGTAGATGGGGGTGAACAAAAATACAATTTTGATACTGTCAAATTGACAACATTGGAATTTTCCTCAATATTGACTGGCATTTGTGAAAAATGGTGAACCATGAAAAAAAAAACATTAATTTTGATTTGGCTTATACTTGAGTGAGGTAATGTCTTAGCAAAAATGATGTATCATTTGCAGCTGGTGGTCTTATCCCCTGTAAGTCAGAGGGGGGTAATTTCAGGGATGACTGAAAATTTTGCACTTTTTTGACTTTACAGGGCTGTACTTTTTGGCATTAGAGGGCACTATTCTGCTTCTTCCCAGAAGTTGGTAATTGTATTAGGAATAAAACCATGGGGAGTTTATTTTCAGCAAGTTGTAACAACATGAATGGCAAGAGATTTTCATGTGTTTCATAAATGGCTACTTGCAATATGAACAAAGTAGCACATGAGTTCTAATTGGCTGCAGGAAAGAGTAAATCTATGGAATTGTGAGATTGTTTTTTGCAAAGATTTGAGGTTAAAATCAGTGAAACATCATATACTTCCCTGAGAGACCTTCCTTGAGAGAGAATTACCCCACTACCCTATTATTGCCTGACCCCCTTGCACAGCCCACTGTGTCATGGTCATTAAATATGATCTCAATTTGTTCCATAGATATTTTTATAATTATATTATGTTGAAGTTGAAAATTGCCTACCAAGAGAAGCCTATCAAGATGAATAACAGTTGATGATGAATTTTCCATTAGTATTGCTCATCATATGTATCACTTGATGCAAGTGAGCTGAATCATTTCTAGGTTGGGCCATTATGAACAAGATTACAAGTATGCTGAAGAAGTTCTCTGCACTTCATCATGTATGCATTCTTATTACAAATCATCTGGTGCATATGATGGAGAAAGAAGCTGAAGAGGAATCTAGTATGGAGGTAAGTGAAGGGAGATGAAGCATTCAAATTTATTTCAGTCATTTTACTTTGGCTTTAAATTTCTCCAATTTATCTGTTGTATTTAGCAATTCCATGAAAATAGGAATGAAAGATCCAAAAATTGAGTAATTCCAACAAATAGAATTTCACTGAAACTAAAATGTCCCTTATTTTTATGGAGTGACATCAGTTTACTCATTCATAACTTCTTTGGTCATAGATGAACTTACTTTTTTTTTGGTTCTTACTCAATTCTTGCTAATACATTCAAGTTCATTTCTTTACTGAGGCCCTAGTTTTGAAAGTTGAGATCAAATGAATTTGCTGGTGATACCTCTGGAGGTATTGATTCAAGTCTTGAGCTGTCATCTGCATAAACACACATATACTCAGAATAACAGGATCTTGTGATTCTAAGACAGCCACTGTTGAAAGTATACAAAGATGTCTTTTCAATATCTTTCTGGACAATTTGTAGTTGCATGTAATGGATGCTTCTTTTTTTAATCTTGCCTAGACAAGTCAATAATTTCAAATGAATGTGATAGCCTGGATTGATCTGAACATAAAATGAACCAAGACATGGAGATCTCAAGATTCAGATGTGCTTATGCCACGATTAAGTTTGTAATGATACAAGTGTTTAAAAAAACGTTTCTTTTATTTAGATACCAGTTACTCTGGGTCATCCACCTATCAAGACCAGGTGGCAGGTGAAGGCAGCTTTGGGTCGTTTCTGGCTCCATGTTCCATCTACTAGGCTGATGCTCAATCGTCCTCAAAACAATGAATCTGTGACTCTGACAGTTCTCAAGAGCAATCGTGTTAAAGTGCGCGAGACTGGGCTCTGCCTCTCAGATCAGGGCATCACTTGAAATCATTGATTGTTAACATAACCCAGCCTATCCATATTGTTCTCCAACTGGGCATGGTAATGACTGGCTATTTTGAAAACTTTTAATATGAGAAGTATATACTTGACCCACTCTGTCACAATGGTACAAAGTGAACACAATCCAAATAAAAGCTTTATTTGTGAACAATGAAAGAAGTATTGCTATCTCCTCCTACTCGATGTTGACATTTTCACATTTTGGAGTTATCTAGCTTCCATATCACTGTATTCTATAAGGCAAATATAGAATTATGTTTATCCTATGCCAGATTTCATCAATATAGTACAATGAATTCTAAAGCATTATGGAAAAGCGTTCCCAAAGTTTTACAGGTGGTCCAACCCAATGATTCGGGTCCAATGATTCGGGTGGATGAAGACTAGGAACTCTTTAATAGCGAGTCATGTTAAGGCTGCCAACACAAGGGAAAAAGTTGAGGCATTCAATCAAAGCAGTCAAGCAAGAATGAATCTGCATTCTCATTTGTGGTAGTAACTGTTGGGCAATTACATCTCTCACCTTTTTCTGGCAGCTCTTAACCCAACTAGGTGTTTTCAATATCCTTCAAGATCCTGTCTACTTTTGTTGCTATCATTTCATTAATAAATATATATCTGAATTGTTAACAAGGATGCAGTTCAAACAGGTTGATGGGGTTAGTTTTGAATTAACCTTAAACTGTTCTCATGTATTACCTGATGAAATGGTGCAGTAAAAACCCTTTTTTTTTTTTACCCTTAACTGGGGAGTGGTTTAAAGGGAATTTTTTACTTTTTGTACCTTTTCAGTGTATTGAGGTGCATTCTGTTATCTACTGACTATATTGAATACTTATGGCTGTGAGTATTGATGAAAAATTTTCAGTTAGTTGATAAAGCCACACTCCCCAGATAAGAGGTTAATGGCCTTGGTCATTGGGGCATTTTCTTGCACACTTACCATGAGATGAACAATATCCCCTTTCATTCCCAAATATTGAAAGACTTGGGAATAGATGCAGTCTTGCTTAGTGCAATCAAACCCAATTTAAATGTGCTTAATTTTTTTCACAGTGTAACAATTGTACTTCCTTCAGGTAATTTTTGCAGATCTGTGGGTTGTGGTACTTGTATGGCTTTCCTTATTCATACCATAACAACAATGGGTGTTGTTGAACAGAATAGACTCTGAAGAATTCTGAATGTATGAAAGCATATTCTGTAGAATCACCCATTTCTGTGAGAATTCTTCCAATTATCACATCCATCTGGTTGAACCTGAAAGCCTTCAGATACTGCACTTGTGATCAATTTGCCATGTGACTTTCTGGCCATTAAGGTAAGCTTTGATGTGTTCAGTTGCCCTTGTATTTGTGAGGCACTTGAGGACATTGTGACCTAGTGCAATGTCTTTTCCATTGAGAGAGGTTAATTGGCACATGAAATTGTATTCAGAATACAATTGACATGTGGAAGGACAGTTTCTATATCCATATTGGAAGTGCCTGTTACGAAGAGGAAGTTACAATATTGGTGCTGGCTTTGTTAGCTGAAAGAAGGAATCGAGTTGTACTGGTTGATCAGTGCTCTTAAAAGTTACAACAGCCCTTTACCTGTTTTTTTTTTCATTATGGATGTCAGCCCCCCAATGAGAACATAGAACAGTGAGTGTCAGTGAAGTGTATTTGCAAGTGCTGGTCAAGTCAAATGAGGTTTTTATGCTTAAGGTTTGACATCTTCTCATAGGTTCCATTTCATTTCCACTCCTCTGGCTCTGTTGATAGGCACATCTAATTACAGGGAAAAGAATAGTCTGACTCACAGAAGGGAAATTTTATGACACATGCATTTTCCATCCAATTCATTCATGATAGCATCAGTCTCTGTTCAACCCCTTGTAGAGGTTATTTCTTTTGTCAAATATGACAACTAATCACTCTCTTTTCAGTGCATCCCACAGTTCTGGTGTCACCAAAAAGATAGGAAAGAAGGAATTTGTTATCAGTCCTTGGGCTTCTCATTGCATAAGCCACAATCTATCATGGAGTCTTTGAATTCTTCTATTTGTAATGTGGTTACGAAGAACTTGTATTTCCTCCCAAGGCGAGCAATGGCCTCCTTTAGGATGCTCTGGTGGGAATGCCCAGGTACTGAAAGAGAAAAGACTGTATTCAGTCTACATTGACACTAAACTGCAACAATGTGAAGCATGGCAATTTTTCAAGTTTGAACCAAGGTATATTTGCCAAATATTAACCTCTTACTCTTAAGTGGGGAATTTATTGGACATAAGTTCACTCTGCCTCGGGAACATTTTTTCATGAGTTATAAACAGTGTTTATGTTTAAAAAATTTACTGTGGTTAGTAAATTTCTGCTTCTAATCCTTGAACTTCAGGTTTTGAGATCATATTTAACTCAAACGTGTAAAATATTGTGATGTATATGTACCACTTAGGGAAAGGCTTCTTCACGACAGATAAACTGTACAGTATATGTCCTAGCCACTGAAAAGGTTGAATCATCCGAGGAAAGGGATTGCATATGACCCAAGAAAACTTACAAATGACAACATGAGCAGCCATGGCCATGCGTTCCAAGCTGAGACACCAGACGTGGAGGTTATGGATCTTGACAACTCCATCAATAGACAGAAGAAGTTTCTCCACTTCATCGAAACGAATTCCCCTTGGAATCCCTAGATGAGATATTAGTGAGTTCTTTCAAATTATTTTTCTTCCTTTCAATTGGGCTGCAACCATGAAAGCAAACCACACTACAATCAAAGCAGAATTCTAAAAATAGTTTGCTTTTCATTCTTAATCATTAACTTTCCTTGAGCAAATTCATGACTGTGATTTATCTGAAACAGAGCTGTGATATTTTATTCCCCATAAATTTAGCCAATCGATGCAGTCATGTGGTGCTGTTTCTTATCATAAGCATTCGTTAAACTTTTTTGAGTTCTGGATGCGTTGCTCTCACCTTCCATCAAGACATTCAGGACGTTCTTCATGATGGCATATGTTGTGACGAGGACCAGAACAGAAAACAGGAAGGTACACAGAGGATCCACAAACTGATACTCTGGCTGTGATGGAAAAGAATCTAAATTAATCATCATTTACAGCTTGTACATTCAATTGCAAACAATGGTGTAGACAGCATTTGATGATGTTTATATATATATCCAGATTTTTCCATTGCAGATATCTGAGCAAAAAAGACGCACCTGCCTGTGTCATTGCACAATACCGTCAATTTTATGAATTTCCACAACTGAATAATTGGATAATGGAGCGTATCGAAAAATACATTCCAATGCCAAATCAACAGGCAGCTTTAAAATTAAATTTAAAAATAATGGACCGATGTGAGTGAGATGTCAATAGACTTGCTTTGGCAGTGTTTCCGTTATGGGTCGCAAATCATGGACTGATAGTGGCGGTACTCGAGTTCTTTTCTTGAAGTACTTGAATGTACACAAACGAGGTGTCTTTCTAACCACATGGATACCTCAGCGTGAATTGAGTACTTAAAAAAGTACTTAACTTTAAAAAATCAATAGGCAAACTAGTTGCAAAAATTGGGCTGTTTTAACCTCGTTCTGTGTTCCTGTTAAGAGTTTTGCGAGTACCGAGTACTAGCAGGACCGAGAACGGAGAAAGTCTTCGATTTGCCTTCAATTTTGTGCATTTCTCTTCTCTCAATGGATTGTGTCCGTGAATGGTAACTCAGTTCATCCCCTTGACGCAAGGAAAAAGCCTTTCCCGGGAGAGTACGGCGCTGGGGATTCTATTCGTTTTCGAGGGCTTGAACCCACACGAGACTTACTCTGTTTTGGACCGTCTAGACCGGTGGTGCCCAATCTTTTCGGCTAGGGGTCGCATAGCTCACTCCCACAGCCATCGCGGGCCATATGCAGTCATTCGTATTGTAGGAGACTATTTTAATGAAAACCTGAGGGTATTTATTGTGGGTTTAGGGCCTCGCGGGCCACTTTTTGCCTGCAGGCCACGGGTGGGGCACCACTGGTCTAGACACTGGTTTAACAGCAGTAAGGGTCATGCTATACGTCCACTCCGTGGGGGCCATTCATGTTCGAATGCCTAGTGCTGCTCGAGAAGAGTGACTGTGCCTTTTAAGAAATAAGCGTTGCTCTTAATCTCAGAGGAAAGAAGCAGGAATTTCTGCGCTCGTGTTAAGAATCTCTGCCGAATTTTGTGCCTCACTCAAACGCTCCTTTTCGACGCTAAGAAAACCGGAATTTCCCCATTACGAAATGAAGGAATTCACGATACCTTGAAGTAGATGATCAAAGCGGCGACGAAGACCCCGACGCTCTGGATGAAATCGCCCACCACGTGGATGAGGGCAGCCGACACGTTGATGTTCCGCTTGGGCTGAAGGGGAATGCCGCGTCGGCTCAGTCGTCGAGAAACGAGAAATTTCGGGTCTGCTTTAGGTTCATTGAGTCGTCGGTGTCGGCTGGTAAACGTCGCATTATCGTGTAATTCAAAGGCACGCACAAACATGTTTAACCTTGCTTAACCATGCTTAACCCCCTTTAACCCTCCCCCCGACGCGCCATGCGATTACAAATCTTGTGCGAAAATCCCACGGTTTCGAGACAAGCCCCCAAAATGCCCTCGAGACGAGGAAAGTGCGGCGATCTGTGTCTGCGACGTGACTTCGTGTCCGCGATCATTTTGGCCGGGATCCATTTTGCCCAATGCTTACTCGCATATAACGCACACAATCGCGCGCGGGTCACACGGCTTCATGCTATTGCATTCCGATCTTCCTGAATCAATTTTTTTAAAAGAATTATTAGTAATTATAATAATGTTACTGGGAATGCTTTTATTCTCATCATCTTGAAATTCGACACGTTTTTCCTCATCATGCATATCGAGTACGTTATGACCGCTTTCATCCGGCATTGCATTACTAGACTCATAAATGCCAGTAACACCTTGCACACCTGCAATATCCCCAATATCCTTAGAGAAATATTAATTGCTGCTGAGCAATTTTTACCATCCGACTCTTTCCCCAAGCATTGACCCGAAAGAGATGTCTTCGGCTTTTACATTTTTTTATTTCTTTATATTATTAATTTTATTATATTTTAAAGACAGACGGTTCCACGATTTCACTCACAATATGATGCGACGCAGACCGCGAGACCCCATGAACGCTGACCCCCGGCGTCGCGTGCTCCGCCGCGTCGCCGTCGCTCTCGCGGCCCCCGCAGCTCGCCTCCGGGTCCTCATTCCCGTGCTTGTGGCCCCCGTGCGAGTCGTGCTTGTGGCCCCCGTGGGAATCGTGCTGATGCAGGGTCAGACCTAAGCTGAAGAACCGTGTCGTTCGTTGAGCGTTTAGGAAATCGCACGAGGGACGTAACGATCTCTTGACCTTTAAATTTGGCCTTCGACTTCGACCTTTAGGTCTGTGAGACTCGTGCTCGATGACTCATGAACAACGGTTCGTCATTAGACATCTAGAGATCATCGATAATTACTATTCCTTAAAATAAAACGAACGAAAGTGTTCCACCAGAGAAAACTGGAGCAACGGTGGTTTCCTCTCGAGGAAACTACAGGGTGAGCCAGAAGTCATCGCTTAAATTTCTTGAAGCGTTGGAACGGTTGCGTGTATTTTCAAGCAACGTGAGTTGGGTTGCCAAATCGCTTCAAAAACTGGAAAACCCCACGAAAAGGAACACGTGGTCTTCCCCCGTTTCGCGATCCACCTGGGCACCACCTGCACACCGCCGACGTGCAACCACGCTCTTCGGCACATTTCTGCCCGCTCCTCTGAGTATACCCAGGCGTTCACCGTCCGACAAAATGTTCTGCGAAACGTTTTCTTCAGACGCGCGATCCGTACATGCACTGGCTCCCAAAAATTCCTCTCGCATTCTGCGCTGTCAAGTCGTTGTGGAAAATAATCGGACGCATCTAATTATTTTTTGAAATGGTGGCCGTCCACCCGCTGCTCTGCTCCACGAGTGGTCAATCATGGAAATGACTATCTAACACGCGTTCTTTGACAGAATCACGCTGCACCCTTTCCGCGCTTCGAGGGTCATCACTCGCGGCTCACCCTGTATGCATCGACTCGAATAAGACGTAGATGCCGACGCAATCCGGTTCCTCGAGTCCAGGAATCCGGCCTCGAACGCCTGATCTCTCACTCGATCATCGTCATCTCTTCTCACCCCATAAAACCGCCGAAAAACGCCAGAACCAAAATCCGCTCACATGATGTTGACCAAGATCCCGACCCCCGACGTGATGAGCATGATCGTCGGCTGGACGTCGTACTGCCCCGTCGCCAGCCGCTCGGCCGCCATGTACACGATCACCCCCGTGATGACCCAGATCATCAGGACGCTCGTCATGGCGCCGATCACTTCTGGAAAGGGTCCATGTCGCCGGGCGTTTTTCCAGTAAATATTCAAGTAAATACATGTTTTTGGATTATATTTAGTTTTTTTTTTGTTCAAGACAGAATCGATGTGAATTTAGTTATTAGTTAATTAGTTTATTCTTATTTTTAATATTATTCATTAATTTATTTACTCATTTTAAACTTATTTATCGAGCCGGTGACTTATTAGATGCGATTTCAGTTCTTCGCGCCGAAGCCGTTCTCAGCGAAAAGGGTCGCTCACCGGCCCGGTGCCAGCCGAAACTCAGCTGCTTGGTGGCGGGCCGCTTGGACAGCCAAATGGAGAAGAGCGAAATCATGAACGAGGCGAAATCGGTGAGGAGATGGGCCGCGTCGGTCGCCACCGCCAGACTCCGCGACAGGAAGCCGCCTGCGCGACAGAACCAGCGAAAATGGCAAAACTNTTGCGTGTATTTTCAAGCAACGTGAGTTGGGTTGCCAAATCGCTTCAAAAACTGGAAAACCCCACGAAAAGGAACACGTGGTCTTCCCCCGTTTCGCGATCCACCTGGGCACCACCTGCACACCGCCAACGTGCAACCACGCTCTTCGGCACATTTCTGCCCGCTCCTCTGAGTATACCCAGGCGTTCACCGTCCGACAAAATGTTCTGCGAAACGTTTTCTTCAGACGCGCGATCCGTACATGCAATGGCTCCCAAAAATTCCACTCGCGTTCTGCTCTGTCAAGTCGTTGTGGAAAATAATCGGACGCATCTAATTATTTTTTTAAATGGTGGCCGTCCACCCGCTGCTCTGCTCCACGAGTGGTCAATCATGGAAATGACTACCTAACACGCGTTCTTTGACAGAATCACGCTGCACCCTTTCCGCGCTTCGAGGGTCATCACTCGTGGCTCACCCTGTATGCATCGGCTCGAATAAGACGTAGATGCCGACGCAATCCGGTTCCTCGAGTCCAGGAATCCGGCCTCGAACGCCGGATCTCTCACTCGATCATCGTCATCTCTTCTCACCCCATAAAACCGCCGAAAAACGCCGGAACCAAAATCCGCTCACATGATGTTGACCAAGATGCCGACCCCCGACGTGATGAGCATGATCGTCGGCTGGACGTCGTACTGCCCCGTCGCCAGCCGCTCGGCCGCCATGTACACGATCACCCCCGTGATGACCCAGATCATCAGGACGCTCGTCATGGCGCCGATCACTTCTGGAAAGGGTCCATGTCGCCGGGCGTTTTTCCAGTAAATATTCAAGTAAATACATGTTTTTGGATTATATTTAGTTTTTTTTTTGTTCAAGGCAAAATCGATGTGAATTTAGTTCTTAGTTAATTAGTTTATTCTTATTTTTAATATTATTCATTAATTTATTTACTCATTTTAAACTTATTTATCGAGCCGGTGACTTATTAGATGCGATTTCAGTTCTTCGCGCCGAAGCCGTTCTCAGCGAAAAGGGTCGCTCACCGGCCCGGTGCCAGCCGAAACTCAGCTGCTTGGTGGCGGGCCGCTTGGACAGCCAAATGGAGAAGAGCGAAATCATGAACGAGGCGAAATCGGTGAGGAGATGGGCCGCGTCGGTCGCCACCGCCAGACTCCGCGACAGGAAGCCGCCTGCGCGACAGAACCAGCGAAAATGGCAAAACTTGCACAAAAAAAATTTTTCGAAAATGGCAAAATCGCGCTCACCGACGATCTCGAGGACCATGAAGAAGAGACAGAGAACACTGGCGACGATGAGTCTCTTCCTGGCATTCTTGTCCGTCAGGGTCGGCAGATCGAGATGGCAGTGCTCTGCGCCGTCAAACGAACAAATCACCGGTCGTCATCCTCGAAGCGATCGGAAGAAAAAAGCGAGAAACCAGAGACGACGAACCCCCAGGGTCGACGTCAGCACCATCGTCGTGATCCCTCGTGCAATATCTGTATATGACCCCGTGAGCGCATTTCGTCTCGCTCTCGATGGAACCGTACGTCGCCGGGCTGTCGAATCTCGTCTCCTCCAACCTTCGATTCCACCGGAGATTCGCGTGTTAATTCTCGCTGCCCCGACCCGCTTCGCGACGGCGAGTCTCGACTGCACCGTTCGTTTCGGAAAACGGTTGGGGATTTCGACCGTAGGTGTGACGTCACGGGACGTGACTCCCAGTTACATAATCCGTGCGGAAGACCCCGTCTAGCCGTCCGCAATAAGAGTAGCGAGGATCCACCAATAAGGGACGACCGTACGGTCACGTGACCAGCCCCCCCCCTCATAATTCATTCAGTTCAAATGTTCATTCCGAGGAGGATATGGTCGTCGAGAGTTACCCACGCGGTCGAGTCTGCAAAATGTATTTCAACGGTTGCATGCATCGACCAACATACCGTAGAACTGGCCCGGGGGGGAACGAATCTCTTTTTTGCCCTGACCTGGAGAGAAACAACGACCTCAAAAATGCCTCGTCCGAAATTTCACTCCGATGAAAGTGTGAATGGGCCGGAGCTCCTCCGTTTCCATTCCGCTTCGAGTCCTTCAATTTGGATCCTCATTGGAAGTCGATAGTGGATTAGAGTAATGCCGACGTACGATCGGGGTTGCCACCTTTTCGATATAACGAAATATGGACAAATATTGGAAATATACCCATAATCACATTAAGCCAAGGCGCCAATCGATATTATGGGTGTGGCTTACTGCTGACTTGCGGAAAATAAAAATGTGAGATACTATTGCGCTTTATAAAATAATAAAAAATCTTGAGTTTAAAATACGGACAAAACAGTGTCCATATGAACCCTACCCTACCTACGACATTTCGGATGAGACATTCAACAAATCGTGTTTTTCAGGAAGGAGGCAGTGATGGAAATGCTCAATATGTTAGCTTAAAAAAAAAAAGCGATTTCCTCCCGATAGAACCCTGCGGTAATTGAGTGCGTGAACCGTTGACCCATTTTCGTATCGAAGGTTTCCCGCCGCAACCGCACGGAAACCGCAGGATGCAAGAGACGAAGATGACTCGTGAAAAATGGGTAACCATAACACTGATCTAACCCGGAGGGCGGGGACGCGTCCCCGTTCCCCTTCTCGAGGATAAATATTTACAAAGGAAGATAACCCGGCTAAATATTGGGAAGATCCCCTATCGTCTTCCAACGCTGAAGAAACGATTAAAAAAAATGAAATCCCGACACCGTACGGAGCTTGACAGCGCGAATGACAACCTTGACATCCACGACATCCTTCGCATGCCCCTCACGCCGCCAGTCGCACATACTCCGCGGACCCATCATACAGTATGATGAGGCGAATCCTCCGCATTTGAATTCGGTGCCAGCAGCGCGGATGCCGTTAAGCCTAAGGACGCTGGCTCGGCTCCTCCGAAGGACGACCGGTTAAGGGCCCTTTCTACGGTCGTATTGCGAAGGATCGACTCGACACGTACCGTCGGATCGCTTCCTCGTCGGCTGCGAGTAACGGTGCACGAATCGGTTCGCGCCCGGGCAAATCATCCAGCCGACATCGGTGATTCGAGTTGCATAAATCAATCGAAATCTGGCAGAATTGAGAACCCGCGATAGAAGAATTCCCCCGCGAAGTCGGAGCCATCCGAGGCTTCACCCGACTTCAAGGCCCAAGTCGAGTGGCACGCTCTCGACGACCTACTGTCCAACATAGGCATTCATAAGATCGACGCGAGCAGTCACCTGACCGGCAGGGCCCGATGCCAAGAAATGAAGAAAAAAAAATAAGAGGAAAGAGGGCATCGCGGTCAGACGAAGCTGCGTTGCCGGGTGAATGACCCTTTATGTTCTCCCCTGTGACGTCATCGAGGAAAACAAGCAACTGCAGGTCCAGCTGCCCTTTGCTTATTTCAGACAGCTTTGCCGAAGTTGGGGTTTTAAATCGGCGCAGTACGCCGTGAAAAAAGTGACACTGAATGCAGGCGCTCTGGAATGCACCGTACATAGGCGCATTTTTTGTTGATGTTTCTTTCTTGGGATGAGGGGAGATAATCCAGTGCATATCGAGCTCCCCTCGTATAGGAATAAGAACCGGGCGCGAGAAAGATGGAAACAAACCAACTGGGGCAAGCGAATACGGGGACACGAATACACGTCAAACATGCGAGTTGTTACGAGGCAGAGCGATGAATCTGCTGGCTTCGATACGCGGAAGATGAAATCTCCCGGGGTGCATGTTTTTTTTTTGGTAGCCTAGATGGCGTCGGGAAGTGTTTTTGACAGTTGCCGACATCGATTCATTGGGGATATTTGTCCTTTCCGATCCGTTTGTGGTGAGACGACCTGTTTTTATCGTTTCCGTTGCTGCGACGTCGCTTCGATGGCAAGCTATGCGTTCGCAAAAAGCGAAATGGTTGCGTGGGAAAAGTCAAAGATGGCCCACCGTGTTCTGAAGAGATGGTTTATTTCAGGCTTAAGTGCTGATGCTTATTATCTTGCATGACACTTGGGTTCAGTGTTCGTCCATGTTTACTTCCACCCCCAAAAAACAAACAATTGAAATTGTTTTCGTGCTCACACCACTGGCAATGGGACGACCAAAATGGGCTCCTTTTCTCGCAGGAGAATAATTGCAACGCCTGATTATGTCATCCGTTAAATCGAACGTTACGATTCCTTCTCATGGTTGTTCGTCCACGAATCACCAGATTTATGAGAACATGGAAAACCACTCTCTTTTACGATCTCAAAATTGGCGCTTGTCACAAGATTCAAAATCTAATTCAGAATTCTGAAGGTCAGCAGTGTCTAAGGGCCTCTTCTTTCAGGCTCTTCCAAGCCGGACAACACTGTTTGTATGGCAACACTGTCTCATCCCTCCGAAGTCAGAATGGATGTGGGAAAGCCCGGGTGAGCAGTGTCATGGCGGCCGTCCACTTCCTTCCGCCTGCCCAGTCATTCGTGATGCTTTGCCTGATGAAATCTTATTCTCGAGCCGCATTTCCATCTTGATTTTTGTCGAGCTGTCCCCAGAGCATATGTTAAGGTTGTACTGCCCCCCCCCCCCCCCCCCCCCCCCCCCCCCCCATTTTTTAAGGGTTTGCTGCCCCCCCCCCCCCCCCAGGCATCCCTTTGTCACAACATGCAAATAATCTGTCTTCTTCATAGGTATGTGAGGGTCAGTCACCTAGGAGACCCAGGCTAGGCAGATCTTCCAACAACGGTTGTTGCGAGGAAGCACCATGCATATTGTAATCTCGGAAGTAAGGTTTTCTTTTGGAAGAACGCTGATAACATCGAAACAGGGGGAACTCCGACCTGAGATACGCATCAATTACATTGGTGTTGGAACTTCACCATCAATAGCAAGGTATCAATTTCATGAATATTTTAGTATTTTGGATGGGCCCAGCTCTTCAGACGGCATGGACCGTACCTTCTCAGCTGCCCAGAAATCCAGTCTCTCTACTGCGGTTGTAGACTGCGAAGCCTAGAAATTATTTTCAGTGCGAAACCTGCTGTCTCGCAATCACTTCCATCTGCTCTCACAAGGTGTCAATATAGATCAGGTACTGACATTCATTGGACGGGTTCCTTTACGCCACGTTAGTTCCTGCTCCCGACTTTACGATTAGGGGCCGGGCATTGATGGATATCGATTGTTGAGCTGACTGTAGAGCTGATTTTGGGCTTCATTGAACAAGAGCTCCATATTAGGTGGCCTCATCTTCTTGATCCTTGAATATAGTCTTGCATAATTTAATAGTATATGAAATATAGTATGTGAAATCAGGAAGAGATTCTCTGTCGGCCTAGCTATTGGGGATTCCCCCGTCGGCACTAGGTCTTGTTCCTTCCCTAATACATATAGGTGCGTGACCGTAATCGTTATGGACTTTAGAGTGGGAGAAATGGGACGACAGAGCCAATGTATAGCGAATTGCCGTGAAGGGATTTCCGGTTTATCCAAATCGCGCGGTGTGAGTTCGGGGCCTCGGACGATATGCGATCCTCGGGATAAGATACTATAGTTGCGTGTATCCGTTTTGACGTATTTACTTCAATATGCATAACCTCAAATTCCGATTAAACTCGGGAGGGCTTCGGCAACGATTAGCTAAGTTTTAACGCTATTGCGTCAGAAATAACCTAATCCGATGTTTTGAACTGAGTTCCCACGCATGCTCAGAACTGGCCATACTCTCCTCATGATTACTGCCTCTAGTGAGTTTCGTCGTCCGCTTCATTTACTATTTCCCATTACACAATAGTGTACGCTTGATGTTGGCATCTGCCTAGATCCTAATGGGAGGTGCTATCTGGAGTCCCCCAAGACTTGCCGGAAGCATTAGTTCTATTTCCTGTGAACTCGACCGCCTATCAGATTCTCCTTCGCTTCTTCGAAGTGCGCTACTTTACACCGACTTGTTTTCACCGAAAGCCGACTGAGAAGTTACATCGGATTTCACTCTTACAAGGATCTTTTGTCGTATCTAGTTAGGGCAACACGAGTGCGCCCAAGCGAAAAACGTCTTGCAAGCGGATTACGTAAGTCCATGTCAGTGTCGCATCAAGGAAACCAGCCCCGATAACATGTAACGCTCTTAATGCACATCAAGTACCATTTGCAGGCTTCATGTAACCGTTTCGCCGTCGACTCATACGAAAAGGCCAGCGTCCCTTAAACGAAAGGACATGACCTCTAAATTGCCCAAGTACTTGCCTCATTTACCTATAGGCACGAGGTGAGAGTCTGGAGGAGGGCGCAGTAAATGAGATGGGCTAGAATGGTATGTATTCCAGTGAATTCCTCAATCTTATTTGATTCGATTTTCACGTAACACATATTGTCTTCGCCTCTTCGCTGTTATCTCTCGTTGCGTCGTCTCTAAATATCGTGTGCATACCTGCATCGTGGCGTAGTTTGCGGTCTTTTCCCCCGCGAGATAGACAAAACGAACCATAGTTCGTTGTGGAATCTATCCACTTGAAAAGAATACTACGATTAGGGGTTTCAAATGCAGCTCAAACGGGCATTCTACAGAGAACAAATTGCAGCTGAAACTTTCTACTTCCCGCCGGGGCTCACCGGTTGTACGGTAGACTGACGACGCTTTCGAGTTTCTCCTGTTGACCTTTCGCGGTCCCGCGAACGGGCGGGAGGCACCCAGCGAACCACCTCATGTAAACGGGACTCGAGGTGTCGCCTGTCGCACTGCCGTCATTGCGTGGCAATCACGAATAACGTCACCACGTATGCGAACTGCAGGATTTCGTCAGATGGTTCTTTTTCCCTCGAGAGCGTGCCTTATCGCGCGGGTTTTGACCACGGCGCATTCGAAACAACAAAAAAAATCCAGATTCGCTAAACGGAATGCATTGTCGGGAATGAGATGATTCAACTCACAGGTCCTGATTTTCGCTCACTGCAATCATCTCGTTCGGGTGGAAGACAAATCACTACACATCACAACTCAAATGAGTAACACAGTTATAGTCGTTGAACCACACGACCTCAATGAACTCGTCGAGTAAAGAACCAACAATATACACCGAATAGAAGCAAG